TTGTCGAGCCTCAGAAAGGCAAGAAAATACTCCGTCTAGACTCTAAATAGTGCATTTAACGTCCTTTTTGCCAATTACTCCATCCGCCTTTTCTCCTCTCAACATGTCTGTACTTCTACATTCTCTCTATCAACATTTTTCGCCTTCGACTAGTTCCTTGTCGACATTACTTCTTTCGACATTCCGAAGTGCACCGATTCCCTCCACCCATCAGGATAAAATTTTCTGGAGATTCCTCTGTGATGTCTGTGCGGCGATAAGATGGGGCACCTGAAAGAATGCAGTAGAGACTAATCCGTTGCATGAGATACTGACTTGCTATAGCGGATTTTTTGCGTCATCTAGCGTCGATTGGGTGAACATTTGTTTCTAGTCACTGTCAAATAGATAGCAGCCTTGCTCACAACTAGCATTTTTTAACGTTAACGAACGTCCTTCAAGGACATCAGTGTTTAACCGGCACCTTTAATTGAGCGTCCAAGAGTTGATAATCCCGGAACCATAGACGTCATGAATCTTTTTCAGTCAGCGTTGAACGTAACGTTCTCCTAAACGTTCTTGTTTTTCATGGGTTTCTCCGTTACCAGGTCGCTTCAGCATCTTTACCAATTGCAGTTTTGCTGCATCTGTTAGGCTTGTTGGACTGTGTTTACTATATATGTTATTTGTCATGCATGAGGGAAGGTCATTGGCACTCTCTATATTGGCAGGTGAAAAAGATCTGCCAAAAACAAGCTTCACTGATGCAACCTTTATCGCAGCGACTTCTGTTGTAGCTATTATCATCGTGATTATCACCATTAGCTCCATTTTCTACTACCGATTACGGAAAGAGCAAGTAAGCCATCTTCCATAAGTGAATTCCATCACCATGTTATTTGCTATATATTGTGTTCTTGAACCTTGCAGGCCCGCAAAATTACATTGCCAAAGAAAGAGACTGAGCGATTTCGAAGAGGAGAGCCCATGAACATCAATCCCACATTGAGCCTCAGTGAACAAGCAGATCTTCTGCCTTATGACGAGCACTGGGAATTCCCAGCAAAGAGGCTACGATTAGGTATGACCCCATTCTCGAACAGAATCGCCTTGACTGGTAACAATATCAATTGTGGTTACTATCTTAATAGGGGAGGAGCTTGGCCGGGGGACTTTCGGTATTGCCATTAAGGCCGTGGCTCGGGGCATCAGGCCCTCCGAACCTGAGACAACAGTTGTTGTGAAGAAAAGCAAGCCTCACGGTGACCTCGTGCATTTCAAGAAACTCATGATGGAAATGAAGATCATGAGT